CCGAAGAAAAAAAAATTGTAGCACAATTTCGTTAATTGGATTTTAAAGAGCAGAGTTTTATCTTTAATTTGCTTTTTTAATGAATGTCCTACGATTTTGTTCGCCGAGTTATTCACTGCTGAAATAAAAACAATCTATTGACTTAACTAGTGAAAAAATTATCGCACAATGATCATTAAAAAAGCAATTTAAAGAGAAAAGTCGGCACTTTAACATGTACTAATTGCTTTTTCAATTAATATCCATTGTTAAAGTGTAATCATTACTTTAAAATCAAGTAAAAATTGCACTTTTATCCTTTTTTATTTAAATCAATGCAAATTAATGAAAAAACGCTAACATTTTTATGAACTTTACAATATTTACAAGTAAAAAGTATCCCAATTACTCGTGCAAAAGGCCGAAGCAATTAGTGTATTTTAAAATGCCGACTTTTTTACTTTTTTAATAATCATTGTGCGATAATTTTTTCACTAGTTAAGTCAATAGATTGTTTTTATTTCAGCAGTGAATAACTCGGCGAACAAAATCGTAGGACATTCATTAAAAAAGGAAATTAATTAAAGGTTAATTAATTAAATTAAAGATAAAACTCTGCTCTTTAAAATTCAGTTAACAAAATTGTGTTATAATTTTTTTTTCTTCGGCACACTTTGACAAACTTTTGAAAAATTTACGGATTTTGATCAATTGACGGACATCACTTTTTCATAATGTAATTTTGTAACAAATAAAAAGAATTGAACTCGATTAAAAGATTCTGAAACTAAAAACTTCAAGCTTTGTAACGCTTTTTTATTGATCTCAATCCGATTATATGTGATAAAATTGCAGCCTCTTGAAAATTGTCTTTTCTGTAGAAGGAAAAAAGTGGCCCTTTAATTTTTTTGCGTAGTACATGTATAAATTATAATAATGTTATTAGTTATTCATATTTTTGCAATATAAATGTAATAATATTGTAAACAAGTTTTATCACTATTTTAAGTTTATAGAAAAAATTATCTGTATTACAATATACAAATATATAATATTAACATACGAAAAACTAAACTCAATTTTAATAAAATAAGTATCATTTGTAGCTCACATTCATACATCAGAAATCGATCCTTCTACTAGCAAATAGTAATATACCATAAGCATCTATGGATACCAATTGAAACATTCATCTATTTGACAATGAAGAAATAATTGTTAATTTCTTATTGAAGATGCTAGTATGAATTTGGATCATAATGTCCAGTTGAGAATCCGGTAAGCGAAAGTGATTATTTCAAGGTATACAATAGTTTTGAGTTAGTGACTACGTTCAAAATTTTAAAATTGGTGATAGGTTCTGTTGAAGAAGAGAAACCGATCGACACGTGCAGCCGAATTGTGTCGAGGCCAAGAAGCAATTGTGCAAGAACTGTTTTATCGAATGGTGTCGTGGATTTTTAACAAAGAGGGACCATGAAATACAGCTTTTTCTCAACGCTACCGCTGGTATCTGTTTTAGAAAGTCGAGCAAATTGAAAAGGCCGAGGATGTAAAAAGACGAGCAAAGAGATGAAATTTAATCAATGATCATAAACGTGATTAAAATGACTGAGTGTTCGTCAAACATTCTCAATGTATTTAATATATTTAATTATTTTTTCTTGTATTTATTCTAGTAATACTTTCTAGTGATGTTATTCTAATATATGCAACATGATTATTCAGCACAATGATACTACATAATAAAAGATATTTGAAAAAATATTTTAATATATGTTTTCATCGAAGAAAATATACGGTTTTGCATATCATCCTTGTATGAGAACCATGTTCAATTTTCTCTGAATTGTTTTAATATCTGAAGAAATATCCCTCTCTAATATTTTCACATTTATTTACAAATATAAATTATCCACCTGTAACATTAAGGATCGACTCAACACCTTTTGCCTTCTTCTCGCTCATCCTTGTGTAAATTCAAGTTCATTTTGAAGACCGTGCCTAATGTAGCTGAAATCAAACCATAAGTCGGTCGATCGGTGCCACGTGAAAATGCGATTTCCACGACAGCAACATTTCCGTAGGAATTCCATCCTGAAGACGCCATCTTCTCCTCCCCCTTTCTCTCCCTTTCGCCACGGCAAATTAAGCTTCCCAAAACACCACGAAACTGTTAATTAAGACTCATTATGCGCGCTGCGGGGGATGGTTGCCTGGGATGGAAGGAAGGTGGCCGTAGCGGAGGATGAAGACCACGAAGAAGCCGGAGGAAGGGGTAGAAAGTGGCAGGGAGCGGAGATGGTAGGCGGGGGTGGTTTAACCCGAGTACGAACTTCTTAATACCACAGCTGTAGTCGGGTTCATTGTGGGATCAATACGGGGAGAACCCGTGGTAGTGGCAGGCCAAGTGCGATTGGCTCCAACAATTGGGCACGGCGATTGGCCAGCACCGGCACTACCAGGAGGCGGGTTCTGTCGCCACGAACCCAACATGTTGGGGTGGCGGAAAAGAGGAAGAGGACATGCGGCGTCGCCGCTCGCTCGAAAAGGACGGCGACGGGGACGGTTCAGAAAAAGACAGCGACAAGTTCCAGGGAGAGAGAGGGTGACACACGGTGTCGTGTCTGGGGGGTTTCAGTCTGTGTTCACCCATGAGAGACACACAACCAGCGGCGACACGCTCCGCTCACGTTGCGAGGGTGAGGGCTCGTTTTTCACTCGCCAACTGGTTGTCCTTTGCCATTTGTCTTCCGCGTTGAATTCAAACACATCGCGATCGGAGTCTTAGATTGGCGGAAAAATCCGTGGGATAAATTGTGAGACGAGTTGTACATGTCATCTTGGACTGCAGGTGGTCCTGCGTACGACGTATGAAATGAAGTGTCGAAAGCGGTGACAACAGTTTTTGTTACTAGCTAAGTGAAGTGACAATGAAGTGTTAATAACGAAAAAAAAATTAGACAGCGTGACAATTAGACAGTATGCTTTATCGAACTGCAATAGATAATTAAAATTTGTCAAGCTAAGACTCATGGAGAATATTGTGTGTGTCAGTACAAGTGATCTTATATGACAAGTTGTAGATCAGTGATAATTGATCCGTATCGAAAAATTTTGAAAAAAGATATCCGAAAGAAAAAAAGTTTTGGATAGAAAAGGAAACTTTACAAGTATTAATTATCGGCATAAGACAAATTCGGAAAAATTTCTGAAAGCAAGATCACAGAAGAAAAAAAGTTTTATGAGGACTGTTACCAGGCATATGCCTAGCATATGCCTTCGTTTATCTTGTCCATCTTCGTAGAATTCTTCGTAAGTAAGAGATATATATATAAGAGTAAGATATATATATATATATATATATATGTCGCAATTTGACATATCTAGCTGATGACAATTATCTGAGTCTTTTCGCATTTGCACAACGCGCTTACCAAGGCAAAAGAAAGGAGAGCGATCGACTTGTGCAACCTCTTGCATCGCTTCAGCTATCTTGAAGAATTAATTGCGTGTATTCATTGTAGTTCATTGGTTCTCGAGAAATAAGAAAGAACGCGTGGAATTGTTTATCATCTGCTAAAAAAATTCTGCTGCATTTTAATAAAAGTGGATAGAATTGTGTCTGGACGAAATTGATGAGCATATTTTATACTGTGATCAACGTAGATGCCTAATCTTTCGTAATTTAATTATTATTTCTTCTGTTTTCTTCGCGATATATGCATGAAGCATTTTGTGATTGTGATATAGCGCTGAAAAAAATTAAACATTTCTTTATAATAATATAACTAAACAAAAATAAGTTGTGATTTTGATGGATGAACGCACGCGAGACATATTTTAAAATTATAAATATCGGAATTAAGTATTATATAATAGAAATATGTTTATTATCATCCCTATGTGTTAATTTAGTGACTTGATAAATTTTTAAATAAACGTATCTCGGACAATCGAAATAATTGGTGTAAAAAGAATATAAAAGAGGACATGACTGTTAACAGCAGCATTCAACAACATACCATCGAATTTTTTATGAACTGCACAATATGCTGTTAATTACAGCGTTGATTTAATGTATCTGTAGATCGTGAATAATTTTAAATATTTCAAATAATATTTAAATCATTGATCGTGTCGAGCCATCGAAGAAAGTAAAATTATCCAAGATATACACATATATCTCTCAGAACAGTTGACAACAATATATTAAACTACTTCACTGTCGAATCTAGTGATTCCGAATGATTCTTCACGCTTAAGCCGATCGCGGTGCGCCATCGACGGAGTTGGAGGACGAGTTAAGGAGTGGTGTTATTCAAAAGGGTGGTGCGACGTTCGGGTACGCAAGTCTGCAGGCCAGCTCTGGGGTGCCGGGCCCGGGCGGGGTGATGAGCTGCTCCGATGTGATGTATCAATATTATCCTTATCTTTACCAGACCCACCGGCCACCGCCGCCGCATCCAACCCATCCCCATGCGGCCCCGCACAGCCATCCCCATGCCAATCCGCACGCGGCCCACCACAGCCCGGCTAGGCCGGCGCCCTTTCAACCCTTCCCGGCGGCTACGGCGACGCATCAGTATGACAGGGTGAGTCTACGTTTCTTTTATTTCGATCATTGGTTTAACATTCTTACCGGAATTCATTGGTTTTGAGATAAGAGAAACGCAAGCTTCTTGTCAATCTCAATAATTTGTATAAAAATCATTAATAAGTTAAATTAGAAATGATAATTATAAGTGATATAAAGTTACGAAGCTAATTCACACAGTCTCTCTCTATATATAATAATTGAAATAAGTAAAATAGATAGATTACTCGATTGATTGACCAATTTACTTAATGATGTTACGATACGAGATAAAATCTGTCGTTAATAGACGAGACAGAAAATTGTGCGAAGGTGCTAATAGAATACGTCAAAACGCCCACATTTTTAAGGTGGTTTATCAGCACAGTTTTATAACCCCGCTGTAGAACGCTTGTATCCTTAAACTGCCCAAAGCAATTAAAAACAGATCCGCCTGCGTTAGTCATTAAGTTTGACGTGTTTGGTAAAAAAAAAACTACGTCTCTATTTATGGCCAACAAACACTCTTTACTGCCATATAAATTAAATTAAGGAAATAACTTTATATATAACTTACATTTCTTACAAAATATATACTTTTTTTATTTATATCTTATATGGGAAATAGTACAATGATGGAAGAGAGAGAAAGAGTAAGATAAAATACATTGTTAAGGAAGGTAAATGTTTGTTTGATTCGAAATTTCGTATCATTTACATACAAACATGATTTAATTATGGCTAAAAATATTATATTTCTTTGAATTTTTGATACATTAAATTCTCTTGAATTCCTAATTCTCGGTCCTTTTTTTCTCGGTTTTTATTTAATCTGCCGACTCTCAGATCGTATAGCGAGTTCCCCGAGTTGCCGAATAGCAAGTAGTCCTTCGAATCACTCGATTCTCGAATCCTCGGTCCTTCGTATCCGCGAATATCGCCCAGTGGCCTTTCTTAGAAATCGAGGAACACTGTCACCGGAATAATATTGCGCCCAACTACGCTCATCCTGAAATAGTTTCGAGATCAAGACAAGAAGGAAGTTTTCTCGGGTAACGCGTGGAATCGTCCGTGCATCATTTTAATTTGTCTGCTGGGAGATCAGGCGTGCTTCTGCATTCATGCACCCGTGCGTGCATCGTAGGGTGTCGAGCGCCGTTTCGCTATCTTTTCCGGCTCGGTGGGAAAGTAACGTTTTTTTTTTTTTTCAGTATCAAATCTCTTGCTTAGATAAAATTTAACTTGTAATTAATGATGCAAACCGAGAAATTCTTGAGAGCATTAGCTCTTCGGAAAACGAAGATATTTTAAGAATGAAAATGTGTGAGAAAATTTTTTTTTAGTATTTTTTAAATATTATTTGAGAGGGAGAGAGAGAGAGATAATTAGTATATATTATATATTACACTTCGGAAATGTTATCAAAAAGTAAAAAATTGTGTAATGGGAGATTCCATCTCTCTCATAAAATAAAACACATATCACATTTACAATCTCAATAAAATAAAAGCTTCTGAAATTTAGTGGCTGGAATGAGAAGAAGAAAAAGAAGGAAAAAGCGGGCTTTACATTTTTCAAAAGTAAAGTTAAAAATTGTGCAAAATTAAAAACTTTTGTAAAATTTAAAATTCAATCCTGGCAGAGGATATTTAGATTAATGCAATTTTTTTTTAGTTTTGTAAGTTTTATTTATAATTTCAGAATGCTAAAGATTTCTTATTTTCCTGGGTATTTGAAATCTTTAATTTTTCTAGTCTACATAACGTATGTAAATTCTTCTTCAGAAATTTATTTAAAATATAATTTTAGATTGACCAGAGTTTAATTAATCAAGGAAAGCCGGCTATCTCTCTTTCTCTTCTTCCAAGATATATAGTTATGAGCATCGTTGGCCCATTTATCTATCAATCTCCCAGCGACATTGTAGAAACACGAACGTCCCGACGTTCTCGCCACTTTTCTCTTTCTCTCCCGTGGTCTCGCGATCGCGAGATAACATCCGGCAAGAGCGTTAAGCGCGCGCGATACGAGCGAAGAGGAGGAAAGGAGGGAAAGCCGATCCCGGACAGCCAGACAGGACAGGTTCTCCACGAAGGAGGCTCCCCCGAGGGAAGAAGAGGGAGCGCCGAGGGGCTCACACCGGCTCATATCCTCGGGGCCCGGGTAGTTCACGCGAATGCGGCGCGACACGAGTTTACTTTTATTTAAATCTCTCTCCTGCTCTTTTTATTTAGGGCCCTGAGGAGCCGCGAGAAACGCCGCTCATTTTGCTCCTTTGCCCGGCCTCTACTCTCTGTGTCCCCTGGTCTCTGAATTAATAGCCGCGCTCTAGTGTTTTTCGCAGTGTGTCGGCCGCAACGTGCATGCGTACGAAGGCGCGTACCGACGTGACGCACGTTAAAAATGCGCGTCGTTTTCTCATGGGACGCACCGAAACCGCCATGCTTTATCGCTCTCGCTCGCTTGGCCGAGTAAACGAGCGAGTGTTTAACTCGTGGCGAGAACTCCACTCGCGAAGAATGATATACGGAGTGTCGCGGAAGCTGCGCGATTTTTTGGAGAACCGCAGACACATTTAATTCCTTAAAAAAAATATTTCGTAAAGGACTCGAGTATCATTATATCAGTAGTTTTTATCATTGTTTAAATACGAAAAAGAGAGAATTAATTAAGAGAACTCGATGTGTACGAATATATAATTATATTCCTTGAAATGAAATAGAGCCTTATTAAGAATAACCATAGAATTCGTAAACTGATATCATCAGCTGATATCATCTTCGCATAATGCGAAGGCTCGCAAGAAATTAGGCAATAGAGAAAGAAATTCAGAGATCGGAGCGCGCACGATCGTTTCGTCGGAGAAACGCGTGCGCCAAGGAAGAGGCAGGTGCTGGTCGCAGGAGAAGCCCACAAGAACCCGGCTATCCTTCATTAGCACTCTCGTTACTCGACTGCCGTTTCTTCTACGCGCAGCGAATGCACAGATGCGAAGACTGCATCGCTGTACGGGCAGTCTTGCAACATCGTCTCAAGTTATGTCACTCGAGAGTCAGCTAACGAATATAGGGCCAGTAGATGTAAAGACGATTTAATGTACTGAACGACGAGTGCGTATCTATCTTAAAAAGTGTACGAGGTTTAAGGAATTTAGAATATTTTATCAGTATTTATTTTACTTTAACACCTAATCTACTGTCTTCGCGATATATAAAATTAAAAAAGTATTGAAACTCAAAGCACCTGCTCGCGAAGGCTTCAAAATTGAAGAGGAAAGATCTAGCATCCAGGCAACTACGGACACTAGGATCCAAGATATATCCGGGATTTGAAGAATTTAAACTCCGAGCTAATAGAATTCAAAATATTTAGAATCTAGGGCACTTAAGGGTAGAGAATTTTATGAACTCGTGTAATTCGGAGCTCGATGCGACGTATCGACCGTCGATCGCGAATGAAACCGAAACAACGTTGTCAAGTATCGCGTTAATCGAGTTCTACCCAGTAATTACCTGGTTTCCCTTCTCGGCGAACGATAATAAGCCACCGGGCGCCTCCTTCACGAAACTGGTAGAGACACCGTGACACACACTATGGCAACGATCGAGAAAAAGAAGGAAAGATTGGGAGCGAGAGCGAGCGAGCGAAGAGCAAAGGCGAGATAGAGTGAGGAAGAGAGAGTAGTCGTAAAAGCGCATTTTTCTCGGGTATCTGGCCGATTAATGAACCGATGTCGTCGCCAGGACCACCCCGAAGGATGCGCGTACGGGACGCGCATCCCTCGCGAGAGATAGACCGACAACGCGGTCCAAGACTATAATACCTATCCTATAACCAGCTCCTGTCCGTCCTCCTAGCAGCAGGTCTCAAACGGACCGCGCCTTTACCTGACCAAGTTTTACGATCGTCGCGTCGAGGTGGCGATGTGTCCTCGTGTTATCGTTCCGGCGGGATCTGGCCTGGCTAAAGCAACCTCCTGCCACGGTTTCTTTTATTATATTTCTCATTCTCCCCCTTTCCTCCCTCCTTTCCTCACGTGTATCTCTTCTTCGTCCTCGTTGCCCTCGCGATTAAAGAACGAAGGACGCCGCTTTGCCAACTGCATGTTCATCAATTTGACTTATGCTAGTCGCGGTGCTGTTTCGGAAAGGAAAAATAATAGCAGTAACGATAAGCAGGATTGCTTTATCAATCTTTCATCCCGCGTGAAGGAATGATTAGAAGTATATTATCTCATTCAATGTGTATAAAATTGATTTCATTAATAATTCCCTTTGATCGTATAAGAATGCATGTTTAATTTTTATGCGGCAATTTTGATGTCTCAAATTTTCTCCAGGCTTCCTTCCTAAATTTTCTTCATATTTTTAACGCATTACGTTTCCATAATTTGATTCACTTGCCACTATTGCTCTCGTAATTAATAATTAACGAGACCATCGTTGAAGCGATCGATTTGCTTTTCAACGAACTGTCAATATGTTGTCATATCTTTCACGCAGTGTCGACACCGCGTCGAGTTTCAAGCTCTGGCATTTCCGTCGCGTCGTATTAGGAGAGATCGACTACTGTCCGGTAATTTGTTGTTCTCGCTTCGCCGGAATAAATTTCCACCGGGACTAGTTTCTCGGCCAGATCGCCGAAGCCCTGCGCGCCCTTCCCCCTGCCGTCTTTGCATTCCATCTATGAGATCGCTGTCGCAAACGCTTATACAACCTGTCGTGGAAAATCACCGCAGAATGCGACGCCGATTTCTAAAACCGCGGAACGATCCCGGCAGCCGAATGGAACTCGACCTGTTGATCGCGAAGTCGCGAGGCGGGAAGCCGATTAAAATTCCATAAAATTATTATAAGTCAAGAAAGCGGACTTATACAATCTCGTGCATCTCAAATCACCCGCGAATAAAGATTAACGATCGCGCTTACTAATGAGAAAAGAAAGTATGACAGCGATTATGCAGCCTGATGCATTGGCATCGCTTAAACATTTTTGATCCGCCAATAATTTATATTCTTT